AAACTTGGACCCAAGCTGCTTGGGTTTGGACCTCAGCCTTTAGCTGAACACCTTGGACAAGTTACCTGCACTTACTCTCGGTTGCCTTCTCCATGAAATGGTGTTCTCATACTGCCTATATCCAAGGACTGTGTGAGTGCTAAGTGATGGCGCACAGTGTCTAGAGGAGAATTACTATGGAAGACACTCCATTGAATTTCATCCTTTCTGTTTTCTTCAAAGACTTTTTTGGTCCATGTTTGGCACTCAGTTCCTTCTCCTGAGATTTATTTGGGTGTCCTGTGTGAGGTGGGGTTACCTTTACTTCTGCGCACATGGTGAGCCCTTGTCCCAGCCCTTTTCCTGCTCTGAAGGCCACCCTCTCACCTCCTCAGTTCGTGTACGTTGCTGTGCCCACTGCTGCGTGGTCAGTTGCCCTGTCCCAGCACCAAAACCACAAATGTTCAATCACCGTAAGTTGATTGTATCATTTGCACTTCCTAGCATGTTTCCTCACCACCCTTTATTTTTTATCTTTTCTGAGCTACTTTTACTTATGTTTCTAGATAAATCTTAGATGTTATTTTGTCAGTACATAGGAGCAAAAAACCAAAAACTTTTCTTGAAGATTTTAATCAAATTCTTATTGTTTTATATTTAGTCAGAAGTACTGATATTCTTTTTTAAAATATATATTTTATTGATTGTACTATTACAGTTGTCCCATTTTTTGCCCCTCATGCCCCCTGATATTCTTAAATATTTTATTTCTCATCTAAAACCAAGATTTATCTCTCCAATGTGTTCCTTAGAAAACTTTTTAGTTTTTCTTAAGGCTTGCATGTTCTGAAAATAGATTTTTGTTAAGTTTATTCCTTGGATTTACATGTTTTTTTCTTGCTAGTTTAAATTCTGTTTTTTATTACATTATCTAATTGGTTGTTACTAGTAGAAGAAAATGTATAGCTTTTGAACATATATGTGTATATACACAATAATTTTAACTGCCTCACTGCATTCTACTCTCCCCACCTTTCTCTCTCTCCCCTAAACTATGTTCCGTTGATTTCATTTGGGTTTTCTAGGTAGACAGTCCCATCTTGAACACGGCAGTTACCATCTCTTCCTTTCCAAGTTTATACTTTGTGGGTTTTTTTTTTTGTCTTATTGCATTGGCTTCCAATGCAGTGCTGAGTAATAAAGGGAGATGAACACTCTTTTTGCTTTTCTTTTTTTCTATTCTAATGGGCATTCTTTGAGTGCAAGAGTTTTTAATCCAGGATCAGGTCCATGGACTCCCTGAATTCTTAAGGGATATGATTTCTGATATACACATATCTGTGCATTTGTGTCAGGTGAAACTGTCCAGAATCCTAAAAGGGTCTGTGACCCACAAAGAAAAGAACCTCTGTTTTAGTTTTTGCATAAAATATGATATTGGGTCTAAATTTGAAATATATATACTTTATAATGTTAATTCAACACATACATTTGTTATGAAGTTGTTCCTTGTCTTTTTTTAAAACAAAAATAGACATTTGGGAGCTCTATTAAAACAGAAAATGATTTCCTATTTTTTATAGTAAAGTGACTTACATTAATATGTTCCCTAGTGTTGCATCATTGTATTTTTGTTATAACTAAATCTTTGTCCTGGTTTAATGGTCCTTAATATGCTACTGGGTTTTATTTTCTAAGATTAAAATTTTTGTAGAGCTCCTTTTCAGGATTTCTTTTGTCAACTTTTGGTCTCAAGTTTTGCCAAGTTTAAAAATGAATTGAAAAGCTTTTAATTTTATGTCCTGAAGCATATTAAATAGCAGATATATGTTTGTCCTAGAAGATGCAAAAGAATCATTCAAAAGCTGCCTGGGCAAGAGCCTTTGGGGATATATTTCCTTCCAGTGTGTTCATTCCTTCTAGAACAGAGTCTAGACAATTCGTCACCTCTCCTCAAAATTTCTCCCAGAAAATAGTCTTTCACATGTATTAGCTCAGAGCTGCATGTGGTATGACTGTTAAAAACAAACAGCCACAAACACCTCCCTCCTATATTATTTTACATATTCTTAAATTTGTATATTTTCATATTTGTACTTATGATTAGACTTGCTAAAAATTTTGTATTTTATTGTCCTTTTCAGAGTCAGCTCTTAGATCTATTTTTTATTCTAGTATGAGTACTTTTTAATCAATTGTTTTTTATTATTTTCTCTCTCTTGCTTTCCTGAGACTCATCTTGTTACTTTTCTTTGTCTCTAGTTACTTCAACTCAATGCCTAACTTGTTATGCTAATTTCTCATTTTATAACATGAAGTATCAAAGGCTATACATTTTCCTCTGATTATAGCTTTGGCTTTCTCATGTTTGTTTTTATGTGTAACATTCTCATTGTTACTAATTTCTATGTAGTTTTTATGGGAGAATTTTTAAATTTTCAGGTGTTTTGATTTTTTTCTTTGTCTTGTCAGTGGCTGGTTGTGCATTGTGACTCAGAGAATTTGATCTGTACAATTTCCAATTTAAAAAAATAAATGTAAGCTTTCCTTGTAGCTTACTCTAGGACCAAATTTTGTAAAAAAAAAAATTTAAAAATACATATTCACACCCTGATTGGTGTAGCTCAATGGGTTCAGTTTCATCTGCAAATCAAAAGGTCACCAGTTCAATTCCCCATCAGGGCACATGCCTGGGTTGTGGGCCAGCCCCTCACTGGGAATATGCTAGAGGCAACTGATCGATGTTTCTCTCATGCACTGATGCTTCTCTCCCTCTCTTTTTCCCTCCCTTCCCTTCTCTCTAAAAATGAGTAAATAAATTTTTTAAAAGAATATATATTTCTTCTCAGTTTCAAAGATATAAATAGGTAATATGTATGTGTTTTACTCACATTATCCAAATTCTTTATGTTTAAAATATATATATTCCTGTCCTGGATGGTATGGCTCAATGGACTAAGCGCCAGCCTGCAAGCCAAAGGGCCACTGGTTTGATTTCCAGTCAGGGCACTTGCCTGAGTTTTGCCAGGTCCCCAGTTGGGGGCGTGTCAGAAGCAACCACACATTGATGTTTCTCTCCCTTTCTTTCTCCCTCCCTTCCCCTCTCTCTCAAACTAAATAAATAAAATCTTGAAAATACACATGTATATGTATTCCCTACTTGTTACCCTCAAAGTTTCATAAAAACTGACATTCAGTTCTATATTTTATTTATCTGATCTGTCAATAACTTAAAAAGGTGACTTAATCTTCCACCACGACTTCAGTTTGTAAGTTTTCTTATCAATCTTTAGATGTTGCTCTATACAATTTATATTGTGACATGCAGTAGGTGAAGGTTCATAACTAGACTTCATCCTTTATCTATCCCTTGGCCCCACCTCTCATTCTTCTGTCTTAAATGCTACCCAGTCGCACACAACACTCCCCCTCTTCTTTCATTTGCACCCACCTCTTCCCACTCACTTTCTTTTTACTATCTGTGACATTCAATTTTAAGTGTGGCTCTCACAGACGTCATTGACATTGGCTTCATTTTTTTACCCAATTGCGGAAGGTTTCTCTTTAACAGGAGAATTTAAACCGTTCACATTTATTGTCACAACTGATCTATGTCGTTTTTCTGGCATTTAATTTTATGCTTCCTGACTCGTTTTCCCTTCATTTTCTACATTTTATGGTACTTCTCAAATTTCTTTGCCTTTTTATTTATTCTGTTATCTGCAGAGATTCCTTGCAAAATTTTTTTTAACAATGGTATGTAGGTAGTATAGATCTGAGCCCATTTTCACTTGAGACTTTGATTCTTGTACATGAAAGATAAGTTGACCAGGAAGACATTGTTGGTTCATTTTGTTTTTCTCAAAATTCCAAAGTTATTATCTCATTGTCTTCTGTCTACAGTACTGTGGGGAGTTTGATTCTTCTATTCTTTATCTATTGCTACATGATAAATTCCCTCAAAACTCAGTGATTTAAAGCAAGAAGCATTTACTATCTCATAATTTATGTGGTTCAGGAATTTAAGAGGGGCTTGACTGGGTGGTTCCAGCTCAAGGGCTCTCATAAGGTGCAGCCACAGTCTGTATTGGCCAGGGTCATGGTCAAGTGAAGCCCTGACTGGGATGCAGGATATCCCTCTAAGACAGCTTACTCCCCCAGCTGTTGGCTGGAGGCTTCAATTCCTCCCCTCAAGGGCTTCTGCAAAGGCTGCTTGAGAGTGTTCCCAGGGCTTTGAGAGGCAGCTGGGGGGTTTCAGGGGTCCCCATCAGAAGAGCCAGGCCAGGTCCCTTTCCCACCTTCCCACAGACAGTTCTCATTCCTCTCACATCGGGTCCCCAAAGCCCAGCTGCCCCACCTGCCCCAGCCTCCAGGTGCTCTCCCAGGCTATGCAGCTGCAGGGTGGGGCTGGCAAAGGGCAGCAAGGGGCAGGGAAAGCTCACATCTGTGGAAACATGCCTGGGCACAGTGAATGGCTCTGGGGAAGGTGCCCCAACCCTGAGCACCCACTGCCTGCCAGCCTTCAGGCCTGTCTGGGTCTTGGCCTCTATATTCCATTCCGGAGGCCATTTTCCCTAACTGGTCAGTGTGGGGTCATTGGACGATAGAATCAAGTACCAAGGCCCACCCCCGACCCTGGCCAGGGCCTCTCTCACCCCTCCCCCAATGCTTCTCCTCCCAGTCACCCCAAGCTGACCTCTCTGCCTGCCCCCAGGACACCCCCTCCCCTGTCCATGCTGCCCTGTTCTCACAATGTGGTCAACTGTTTGAGTTCCCAAGAATCTGCCTGTCTTCCAGACCCAGCCTCCAGGGTAGGGAGATTGGGTAATGAGCTAATCCCACCCAGAACTGAGCCCAAAGTTGGCAGTCTCTGCACTCACTAAACATCTGCAGCCCCCACCTGGGTCCCTGAGCCCCATGCTGGCTGCCCCACTGCGTGCGCTGCCCCCACCACCATGGGGAGGAGGGCTCTGGGGGGAGGGAAGGGCACTGTCTGCAGCAGCCACTCCTCCCTGTTGCAGGACGTCAGGGACCACAGGTGCTACCAAGATGCTCCGAGGCTCCTGCTCCGCCCTCCTGCTCTGGGGGCTCCTGGGAGTTCTGCATGCCCAGCAGCAGCAGGTCATCGCACCAGAAACCTCAGAGAGAAGCAGCTGTCCAGGTACAGCGCTGGGGCTGGGGCTCCTACAATAAGCAAAGGGCACAGCAGGGACAGCTGGTGGGGAGCCAGGGCCCTGCATGCAGGTGTGGCCGGTGTGAGGCAGAGCCCAGGACCGCCCACTGCTCAGGGTTCCAGGACGGCCCACCACAGGGCCTCGGTGTGCAGCCGAGTGACTCCTCCCGTGTCCCCCAGAGAAAGCCGACTGCCCGGTCAATGTGTACTTTGTGCTGGACACCTCGGAAAGCGTCACCATGCAGTCCCCCACCGACAGCCTGCTCTACCACATGCAGCAGTTTGTTCCACAGTTCATCAGCCAGCTGCAGGACGAGCTGTACCTGGACCAGGTGGCCCTGAGCTGGCGCTACGGCGGCCTGCACTTCTCCGACCAGGTGGAGGTGTTCAGCCCGCCAGGCAGCGACCGGGCCTCTTTCATCAAGGGCTTGCAGGGCATCCGATCCTTCCGCCGCGGCACCTTTACCGACTGTGCACTGGGCAACATGACCAGGCAGGTCCAGCAGCAGGGGACCAAGGGCGCGATCAACTTCGCAGTGGTCATCACCGATGGCCACGTCACTGGCAGCCCATGCGGTGGCATCAAGCTGCAGGCCGAGCGGGCCCGCGAGGAAGGCATCCGGCTCTTCGCTGTGGCCCCGAACCGGAACCTGAATGAGCAGGGCTTGCGCGAAATCGCCAGCGCGCCCCACGAGCTCTACCGCAGCAACTACGCCACCATGCGGCCAGACACCAGCGAGATCGACCAGGACACCATCAACCGCATCATCAAGGTCATGGTGAGCAGCCATGACATCCTATCCTCCCAGGGCCACTGTCAATCCACAAGTGTGGGGTGGAGGGTGGGCTCAGGAGCCCCGGGGTTTGGTCACTGGGCATCAGCTTCAGTTTACCCTCTGTGACTGAGGTAAGCCTGGTCAGGGTCCCGCCTGCTCCGATACCCTGGCTTCTCTGCCAGATGAGGAGTGGCCCTGATCTCCAGCTCGTGGCTAACCCAGGTTTCTCTCTGTCTTTTCTGCAGAAACATGAAGCCTATGGAGAGGTGAGAGGCATTGCTGTCCCTGCCAGCCCTGCTGGGTGTGCCCTGGGCCCTCTGAGGCGCTCACCCAGCAGAGATTACACACTTTGCCTGCCGTGCCAACCCCCTGGCACTCCCTGGGCACCAGGGAGGGAGACCCCTCTGCTCCATGTAGGGCCTGAGACTCTTGAGTTTGGTACAATGGCTTCTGATCCAAACCATGCAGTTTGAACCCAGGAGGTCAAGATTAGGGTCATGAACCAAGCACACGCCAAGTGGGTGAGCACTGAGGCTGAGGGCGTCCTCCTGGACTGACAAAATCGGTCCCCGTGAGCCCAGTCAAGTGGCCAGTTAGGTGCCCAGCACGGGATGTGCAGCCCCGGGTCCCTGACGTGCCCCCGTGCCTGTACACCCAGCTCCAGGTCACAGGCTGGGAAGGAGTGTTTCCCACTCAGCGAGGCTCCTGCCAGCACACCGTCCCCTGAAGAGCTGTACACAGCACCGCAGCATGATACTTGAGGGTGCCAGCCGACCGCTCTTTCGACCCTGCTCCTGTTAGTCACCATTCAGCCCAGACTCGGTTCCCAAAGCTGGACTTGGGCATATATAGACCCCCATGCTGGTGGGCACCTTCTGACTCCGGCCCTTTTTCCAGCCCGGTGCTCAGGATGGCCTACCCGCAGCAGGCTGGGGGCCTGGGCAGCATCCTCCCTCCCTCCCAGCTGGACTTGTCGTGCTGCCCTCACGCTGCCCCTTGCTTCTCATTTCAGTGCTACAAGGTGAGCTGTCTGGAGATCCCCGGGCCCCCTGGCCCCAAAGGCTACCGCGGACAGAAGGTAAGATACCCAGCCCACCCTGGAGTCTGCCCTGCTGGGAAGCCCCCAAACCCTCTAGAACCATGAATTGCTGGCCAACTACCCTTTGATGGATTCAACGCTTCTGACCCTGGAGAAACTAAAACTCCATTTTATCTACTTCCTTTTTAAATGACATTGTGAGGAAAGTAGAGACATTTTTGAAATTAAGATTTGCCATTAAAATGCTCATATAAAGCAAACAAGTTGGTATCGCAGACAGCGTGAGGGTGGGTGCTGCCTAGGCCAGTGCGGAATCGGAGCTGGACACCCCACCCCGGACTATTGGTCAGAGCTCAGAGAAATGGCTAAAACAGGCCCTGGACTGACAGAGGTCAGGATTCTCTGAGGTCAGGGCCTCTGACCCTACTGTGGGATATCCTGATGTGGAGTTGACGTTGTCACCTGGTGGGGACTAGCGGCCAAGCCATGCTGACACCGAGCCTGTCACTCTTCCATCTCCTAGGAACCAGTGACAGGGTCCCTAATGGCCTACCCTGCCCCTCCCTGCCTCAACTTACCCCTTTTCTGTTGTCTGTTTTTAGGGCGCCAAGGGCAACATGGGCGAGCCTGGAGAGCCCGGACAGAAAGGGCGACAGGTACGTGCCCTCCCACCCAGCCCGGCAGCCCCTGCTCTCCAGGCTGGAATTATACCCATGGCCCTTTGTTCTTCCACAGGGGGACCCAGGCATTGAAGGCCCCATCGGATTCCCAGGACCCAAGGCAAGTTGCACCCGGCCCTGCTCCCATGGCTGGGGACGCTGGGGACAAGCCAAAGGCTGCCTGGCTCCCGGTGAGACCAGCCCAAAGGGCCAGGATGTCTCTGGCCCAGCCCACCTCCTTTCCCCTAACTCAAGGAAGTGAAGCACCTCAGTATTTTGAGTGTTGTCCCCAAACCAAACGTCTGTCTTGAGTCCAGTCATGTCTCCCTACCCAAGGCTGGTGACCACTACCCGCTCTGGTGACCTGCTGGGTCACACACACACTCCCCACCATAACGCTGCTTTTCTTTCCTTCCGACCTCAGGGTGTTCCTGGCTTCAAAGGAGAGAAGGTGAGATTCCAGCTCCCAGTAGCCAGATTCCACTTGGCATCTGCTTGAGCCTCAGCCCCAACTCCCCACAGCATCCTTGGCCAGCCTGCAGTTCCTGCTGGGGGCACTATGTGGCTTTGTGCTGTGGTGGCCTGGTCCTGGGGTCCTTCTGGCCTCACGTTTGGCCAAGGGCAGAGCTGGGCCCCTAAGGTGGGGGGTCGTCTGTGATGCTGCAGATCTGAGCTCACAGCCTCACTTTCCTTCTGCACAGGGAGAATTTGGAGCTGACGGGCGGAAGGTAAGCCATGTGTTGGGCCAGTGGGCAGGGCACCCCACCTTCCTGCTCCTCCGAGGGATGACGGTCGGGTCTGACAAGAGTCCCCTCTCCCTTCTCCCTCCAGGGTGCCTCCGGCCTGCCAGGCAAGAATGGGACGGATGGACAGAAGGTAACTCTGCTCCCTGGGCTGCATCCCAGGCCAGGCAGGGGGATCGTGCCCAGCAGCATCTCTCAGGCTCCCGGGTCCTTCCCTGGGGCCTGGCCTCTCCCCAGTGTGTGGCTGTAGCAGTCCCAGTCTGCACCTGTGCTCCGGATGCAGGACAAATGAGGCCACTGCAAGGGCAGTGGACACTTGCCGGTGTCCAGGAATGGACACTTGCCTCTGAAAACCACGGCCCAGCCTCGCAGGAACTTTCCATTGTATTCTGCACAACCCCACATTGGCCTGAGTGGAAGTTCACACATATACACGCATGCACACAAACATCTCGTGCATGCACTCGCCCATGCACACACATCATACGTGCATACAGGCATGCACACACGTGGAGGAGGCACTCTGGACACTTGCACCACGCCCACTCTCCCGCTCCCACAGCAACGCCGCCGTGACAGTCAAGCCATTAAAACACACAGTAGCACGCGTGTGTGCCCAGTGCTCGTAGGCTGGCATGGACCACGCCTACGCCTGTCACGTTGTCACATTCACACCTGCCGTTGGCGCATCATCCCCTGACTCTTGCCCCTGACGCGTCTTCTGCTCCCCTCTCCTACTTCAGGGCAAGCTGGGGCGCATCGGACCTCCTGGCTGCAAGGGAGACGCCGGCAGTCGGGTAAGCATGGCTCTGGCTCCTCTTCGCATTAACGTTAAAACCCCTTGGAGGCACCAGGCAGGGTCAGGGAAGCCGGGAGTCCCTGAGCTTGATTTCCTTCTTTGGCCCTGCCCTGCCCGTCCCTGCCCCTGCCCAGGGACCAGGCTGGGTTGGGGTCACAACAGGATGAAGTGGCCTTGGGGCAGCTGTTCCCTAGAGTCCTGACAGCTCGGCTCTGAGGTTTATCTGGTCGTCCCACCCAGGTCTGGCGGGTTCTGGCCACCGAGACCCAGGTGGGACATCCAATCCAGACAATGTGTGTGTGGGCAGGGGGGGGCTGGTCACCGTCCCCATGTCAGCTGGCCTTGAGCTAGTGGAGAAACCCCAAGTGCAGCTCTGAGGGAGAGACCCAGACAGCTTCTTTCCCCATTTTCTCACAGGGCCTCGACGGCTACCCAGGGGACGCAGGTAGCCCTGGGGAACCCGGAGACCAGGGTGCCAAGGTAGGTGGCCTAGCCCACGGGGCAGCGGCCAGAGCAGACCGGGGTCCCTGCCCTCCAGGTGGCCTTCTCCCTGCTGTGGTGCTGGGCCTCTGGGGGATGCACTTAGGCTGAGAAGCACAGCAGAGGGGCTTGTCCCTGTAGACCAGGCAGAGGGGGCGGGAGGCTTAGTTGTGTCCTTCCGGGGGGCTGTGGGGTGCCCTCTGGGGTCCTCTCCAACTGCGTCTAACTCGGAGCTGAGAGTCGCAGCTCGGGCAGCTGCACGGTGCCTCAATGGCCACAGCAACAAGCCCACCCTCCTGCCAGGCCTCCAGGGGGCTCTTGTGGAAGTCGCCTTTGAGGTTATGCCTCTTAGGCCACCTGAGGTATCCCTCTGCCCACCGGTATTCATTCCCGGGCCAGCAGCCTCAGACACTCAGACAGGGGCCATGTCTGATTCATTCACCTACGGAGCTGAATGGGGGGGCCTGTCCCCCAAGACTGTGCTCTGCCGACATGGGAGGGAAGGCGCATGCCCCCAGCCCCTCCAGCATCCTGCCCCTGGTCCATATCCAAAGGACATGAGGCTGATTTCTCCAAACCCTTCCAGGGGGACCCTGGCCGCCCAGGACGCAGAGGGCCCCCAGGAGACGATGGGGCCAAGGGAAGCAAGGCAAGTGCCCCCGGGGTCCCTGTTTTCCTGCCCCGGCCACACACCGCAGTGCCCACTGGGCCAACAGATGTGGGGGGCAGGACAGAGAGCAGGCACCCTCGCCAGCCCAATGCCCAAGCAGGTGACCAGCCTCTCTGTCCTGTGGCTGGGTGACAGAGCACCCACCCCCCGAGTCACATCCAGTCCCACCTGACCAAGTAAGGCCAAGCCTGCTCACGTGGCCCAGGTCATCCCACCTGGTTGAGCTGTCTCCTTCCCGCAGGGCTATCAAGGCAACAGCGGAGCCCCAGGAAGTTCTGGTGTGAAAGGAGCCAAAGGTGGGCCAGGGCCTCGAGGACGCAAAGGCGAGCCCGTGAGTCCACACCTCTCAGGCCCCTCCAGCCTAAGGTCCCTGCCCAGCCCCTCCTGGCCTGTGCCCTGCTTGGGCCCCTCTGAGTCCGAGAGTCCCCAGTGTGCCTCCACACACCCCTTGCAGAGGAGGAAAGTGTCGGCCACACCCCTGCAGGACACTCAGTACCCATGAAGTGGCCCAGCACCCCCACCTTGCCCTCCCGCGGGCCACCCCTGAGGGCTGAACGCAGGCCCAGGCATACACTCTGTGGGTCCAACATAAGCGTCCTCATGCTGCCAAGCCAGCCCTGGGTGCCCTGCCACAGGGCAAAAGGGGCCCAGGCTCAGGGCCGGTCCTCCAGGAGGTGCATGCCGAGGCCTGGCCGGGCCCAGCCTGCAAGTGAGCTGAGTGGCGCACCGATAGCCAGTGCAAGCCAGGTCCCAGTCGCGTTAGCTGAAAGGCGACCCGCACTGGCAGCTGACCGGGAGCCCCTCCCCACATCGTTCCCTAAATCCTTGGCTGGGATCACACCGTCCGGGCAGAGGATGAGTGTCTAGGCTGAGGCCCTCTTGAGAGGCTTCCAGACCCCAAAACCAGAGTCCCCCGGTGTGGGCTCTCCCTGTGGCCCCCACTCACATGCCCACTGTCTGCAGGGGCGCAGGGGAGACCCTGGAGCCAAGGGCAGCCCAGGCAGTGATGGCCGCAAAGGCGAGAAGGTGAGTGTCTGTGCGTGGGAAGCGTGGGTGCTGTCCCGTGTCCACCTCTGCGCCGGGCTCCCACCGTGGTGCTGGTGGTCCTGTGGCAAAGGAGAACGAATGTGGCCCCACGCCTCTCAGTGGGGACACTCCCTGAAAGGTCTGGGGAAGCGAGAGGCAGCCAGGGCATCCCCACCTGCACTGCCTGCGGAGGAACCTGGCTGGGGCTCGGCCAAGTTCACTCACACAGCACGAAGCGCACAGCCATGAAAGCTGCCAACTGCTCCACCCACAGGCTCCCGCCACATGCACACCCTCCTGTAGCTGGGCGGGGTGTCCTGTTTTGGGGGCAGAATCGGAGTTTCCTGTGTGGCGTGGATGAAGGGCTGAGGGGGGCCCCTCCTGTGGGAACGGGTGGTGATCCTGCCCGAGCTGCGAGAGGCTGCTGTTCCTACGTCACCCCCACAATCTGGGGTCCTCTCCAGAAAGTGTGGTGCCCTCCTGCTGCACCTCCTCCCACACACCCCAGATAACTGGGCTCTCCTCTCACAGGGTGACCCTGGCTCCGAGGGGCCCCGGGGCCTGGCTGGGGAGATCGGCAGCAAAGGAGCCAAGGTAAGTGGGGGGCAGGCAGCATCCAGCACCCTGGCCGGAGGGCTGAGTCTGGGACCCCCTGCCCCTCCCCTGCCCTTCCCTTCCTGCAGCCCCGACCAGGGCCGCTTTGGTCGGGGCTGAGGACAGAGGCCATGCCCAGGACCTTCTGGGGGGCGGCAGCTCTCCCCCACCCTTCGACGTCTGCAGTGTTGATGACAAGGTCTCTGAGGTGCCCTTCCTTTCCAGGGAGACCGAGGCCTGCCTGGACCCAGAGGCCCCCAGGGGGCTCTGGGGGAGCCCGGGAAGCAGGTCAGTGGCAAATCACCTGGGAGGGGCCTGCGGCTCTGGGGCTGAGGCCCCTGCCTGTCCTTCACTGTCTAACTCCCCTGCCCTGCACTGCCACTTGGGTTCTCCTGTCCTCTGCAGGACACTGTCCCCGTGGCAAACTGAGGCAGTGGGACAGGGGCCGAGGGTCCCTGTGGACCTCACATCCTAGTCCTGCCCTGAATGGTCCAGCTTCACCAGGTGGGGGTGGGGGATGAGCAGGAAGCAGAGGTGGGGCCTGGGAGCCCCAAGGGGGCACGCGGAAGGGGAGGGGCCAGGCAGTGACCCTCAGGGCAGCAAGGCAGTGTCACCTGGTGGTCAGAGCTGAGCAAAGTCAATCTGTACGAATTCTCCTCTTTCTCTTTGCCCTCAGGGATCTCAGGGAGACCCCGGTGACGCTGGTCCCCGTGGAGATTCAGGACAGCCTGGCCCGAAGGTATGCCCCCTCCCGGCCCGGCTGGACTAGAGGGTGGGGGCGGGGCGCTGAGGCCGTTTTCAGCCCTGGAGGGAGGCTGCCAGCAGTGCACCTTCGGCCCTCAGCGTGGGGGCCCGGCAGGGGGCTGGGTGGCCACTGCAGTTCTCACCCTGTGGGGGAGCGTGCCCCCCGCCAAAGCTCAGCCCTGCCAGCTCAGTCCATGCTGAGTGTTCATGTTTCCCACTGGACCTGCCCTGATGGCCCACCCGTCCTCTAGGGAGACCCTGGCAGACCTGGAATCAGCTACCCAGGACCCCGAGGACCACCTGTAAGTCCTGGCATAGGATGGGAGCTTCGGGGAGGGGCAGGCATCTCCGGGAAGGCCTGAAGGTTCCCACTGGTTCCCTGGAGGGCCTTCGTCCTGGGGGACAGGGTGCGGAGGGCACACAAGAGGCACACCCCGGGGGCAGGTGCCCCAGGAACTGTCGGGACGCAGTGTGGGCAGCATTCGCCCACAGGTTGTGACGACTGAGATCGCGAGGGAAGGGAAGGGGTGCAGGAAACCCACAGGTCCCCAGCTGTGTCCCAGGGTTAGTACATTGGCTCTCAGGGGTCTGTGCCCAGTAATTGCCACCCTTCCTTTCTTCCAGGGAGACAAAGGCGAGCCAGGCTCACCTGGCCCCGAGGTACGTGGGGCCCCTCTGCACGCACCTGGGGTGGCCGGTGCCCTGCTTCCTGTGGCTGGAGCACAGTGCTTCTCACCTCATGCTTGGCCACCAGCAGCTGCCCTGTGCTGAGTGCTGAGTGTTGAGTGCTGAGTGCTGAGTATGGCAGCCAGCTGAGCACAGTCTCTGTCAAACCTGAATCTGGGTCCCCTGAGATGCCCTGTGCTGTTGCCCTAACTGAGCCTGAGAGCAGGCACAGGTCCTCCCGTCCCAAAGCATGCCATGTTCCCAGCAGACTCCGCAGACTCGCTGGAGGCCTGGGGAGGCTGGGTGGGGGCGAGCTCTTCCACGGATGTCCCCTCTGCCGGCCTAACCTATGTGTCCTGTGTCCTAGGGGGGCAGAGGTGACTTCGGAGTGAAAGGAGCACCGGGGCTGAAAGGAGAAAAGGGCGAAACTGTAGGTGTCCTCCCGGTTCCTCCCGGTCCCTCCTCCTCCCTCATTTCTCTCCACTCCTCCTCCCCTCCCCTCCCCCCTCCTTCTCTCTCTCTCTCTCTCTCTCCTTGTCCCAGAAACCTGGGGGGTGTGCAGGGACCACCTAGGTGTTTGCTGAGCCCACTTGTCCTTCTCCTCCTCAGGCAGATCCTGGTCCCCCTGGTGAGCCAGGTCCTCGGGGGGCGAGAGGAGACCCGGGACCTGAGGTAGGTCGGTCGCAGGTCCATGTGGCCTTCGTGCCATAGTCCCTGGGCCAGCCAGGCCAGCACACACCCTGCACCACGGGGCTCTGCGCCTGTGGTGGAAGTGCGGGGTCAGTGTGCAGGGTCCCTGCCCGGCCTCGCCGTGACAGCAGTCACCTCTCACTGTCGTCCTTCTTCCTCCAGGGAGAGCCTGGCCCCCCCGGAGACCCCGGCCTCACGGTAGGTGTCACCCAGGGCTGGTATCCATGTCCTTCCTCCTAAAACCAAAAAAGCTAGGGCAGCAAGGGCAATGCCAAAGGGAGAGGTCAGCAGGAGTGGGGTTAGTGCAAGGTCAGAGAGCAGGGTCAGCAGGGATGAGTTAGGGTCAGGGTGGCGGTGGAGGTCAGAGGCCAGGGGAACAGGGCCACAGACCCTCCCCGTGGCGGCGGCACCCCAGCGCCCTCCGGGTTCGCTGTCCCAGCTGGGATGACACCTGTGTTGCAGGAGTGTGACGTCATGACCTACGTGCGGGAGACCTGTGGGTGCTGTGGTGAGTCTCGGCCTCGCAGGGTGGTGCTGCCGGGCTGCCCCGGGCTGGTGCCCAGGGGTCGGGGTCACCGTCTGAGTCCCTCCCTCCGCTGTGGGGTCATTTCCCGCCGTACACTCGGCTGTGCGCCCCGTGGTCTGGGGTGCACCCTGGTCCCAGGTAAGCACGCACAGCCACCGCCGCCAACCCCCCCCCCCCGCAGACTGTGAGAAGAGGTGCGGCGCCCTGGACGTGGTGTTCGTCATCGACAGCTCTGAGAGCATCGGCTACACCAACTTCACGCTGGAGAAGAACTTCGTCATCAACGTGGTCAACAGGCTGGGGGCCATCGCCAAGGACCCCAAGTCCGAGACAGGTCAACCACACCCTCAGGAGCAGGGGCGGGGGTGGGAGACCAGCGGGCAGAACATGCTGGGATCCAGTCCTAGGAGGGACGTGACATTCACTTGGTCACGGTCCCAGAGCCCCCACTTGAGGGTGGCCCCGGGTATGGGCGGCGGTGACAGAACTCAGGCCAGCCCCTCACGCCCGCACCCGGCCACCGCAGGGACCCGAGTCGGCGTGGTGCAGTACAGCCACGAGGGCACCTTCGAGGCCATCCAGCTGGACGATGAGCGCATCGACTCGCTGTCCAGCTTCAAGGAGGCCGTCAAGAACCTCGAGTGGATCGCGGGCGGCACCTGGACGCCCTCAGCCCTCAAGTTCGCCTACAACAAGCTGATCAAGGAAAGCCGGCGTAAGAAGACCCGCGTGTTCGCGGTGGTCATCACGGACGGCCGGCACGACCCCCGGGATGACGACCTCAACCTGCGGGCCCTGTGCAACCACGATGTCACCGTGACGGCCATCGGCATCGGGGACATGTTCCACGAGAAGCACGAGAGCGAGAACCTCAACTCCATCGCGTGTGACAAGCCCCAGCAGGTGCGCAACATGACACTCTTCTCCGACTTGGTGGCCGAGAAGTTCATCGACGACATGGAGGACGTGCTGTGCCCCGGTGAGCAGCAGCGGGGCCTCACAGCTCCCCCCCCCCCCGCCTGTCAGCCCTCATCCCTGCAGGAGGGAAGGGACCTCAGGAGGGAAGTGGCTGGGGCCTCGGTGGGCCACTGAGGGAGCCCAGCCCCCGCCCCGGGCAGCGGAGCCTGACCGGGACCCCGGCCTCCTTTCCTCTCTCCTAGACCCCCAGATCGTGTGCCCGGACCTCCCCTGCCAAACAGGTAACACTCGGCGCCACTAAGTGCCCTCCCTAGACTAGCAGCGACCGGGCCCAGAGGGTCGCACAGGAAAGTGCACCGTGGGGCCCGTCCGTAGTGAGGAGCCCTGGGACTGGACTCTCAGCCCAGAGCCCTGGTTCCTCAGCCCCCTCGGCCCCAGCCGCTCTGAGGCCGGGGCCTGGAGGGCTCAGCCGGCTTCAGCAGCCCGCCCCCCTGGCACACGTGGGGAGTGGGTGCTGCGGGCCTGGCCTTGCTCTTGGTGCCCTGGTGTTCAGGCCTGGTGGTCTCTTCTGCCCGAGAGAGACAGACAGGGCCAACCCCACCCCCACCCCATCCCCACTCCTCACCCCTCTCCAGCCCCACTAGCTGCCCAGGCAGGAGCCCTGGAGCCAGTAAACAAAAGAGTTTTAAACCTTCTGGGAGGTGAAGTCTGTACAGCCGCCGGAGGCTGTCGGGCCAGGTCCTTCAGACCCCTGAGGGCTCATCCTTCTTCCCTTGGGGGCCGACTCCAGCTCCCGGTTAGGGCTCCACGCCCCCTCCCCACATGGTTCAGTGCATGGCTGGGGCCCTGGGCTGCACAGAGGCTGTCTCCAAGGCATCTCCCAGGAGTGAGGGGTCTTCCAGAGGCAGAAAGGGGCAAGACAGCATTGTCACTCCTCTGGGACTGTACCGACACCTCTGCAGCTGCACCAGGACCGGGAACCACAGCACCCGCTCAGGTGTCCCAGGGGTGGCAGGAGCTGAGCCCCTGTTGGCAAGCCATGCGTCGCTCCCTACTGAGTGGTCCTGGAACCATGGCTGGCCCCTCCTGCTGAGTGACAGGCAACTGCCCAGGGCGTGTTGAGGCAAGGACCAGAGCTGACTCTGAAAGGTGGGGCTGCCGTGAGGGGTACAGGCCAGCTGTGCTGGCCAGTCCGCAGAGGACACCCACGTCTGCACCTGCAGCCAGTGTTCCTGGGCTTGTGCGCGGGCTCCTAGCCGGTGGCCTGGGGCCACCAAGCAGGTTCAAAGGTGCTGAGGTACCTTCAGGAAGTAATGTGTTGAACTGGGGGCCAGGGTCCCCACTTATTCTGACAGAGAACTTCCAAGGAAATGCTCCTCAAAGTTGTCTCTGTGACAAAGCTGTGCGGTCGTCCCAGAGACAGTCTGGGCCTGGGGTCTCCAGAGTCAGCTGAGGACAGCTGTGTGATGGCCAGAACCACCCCAAACCGGAGATGCTGCCCCAGGGCTCCTCCCCTCCTGAGTCAAGGGAGCCGGGCTCCCCACTGAGACCCAGTCAGTCCGCAGGCTGTGCCCTGCCCCCAGGGCGCCCCAGTCCTTCGGGGGTGGGTCCCACAGTAACTGTGGCCCCACTAGAGGAGAAACCAGACCCCAAACCCAAGCGCCCAGCACCCTTACCCGGCCCTGACCTGGCCCTGTCGTTCCGTGGTAGCTGAGGTTCTTTGTAGCTGCTCCGGACCGAGCTGAGGAAGGTCTCCCCACCCCCCCACGCCCCCACCCCCGGATCAGTGGGCTTTGTCAGATGGTGTGTCTGGGGCTGGTGATGTGATCGCGGGGTTGTTCTTCAGCCTGTTGGTGTGATGGACGCGGCAGTTGATTTTCCAATGTTGAACCCGCCTTGCAGACCAGGGGCAATCCTGCTTGGTCATGGAGTGTGTTTTCTATATTGTGGGACTCGATCTGGCTGATTTTTGTTGATTTTTGTGTCTGCTCATGGGAAGATCTCAGGCTGCAGTTCCCTTTCTTGTGATGCCTTTGTCTGGCTTCTGCATTAGAGTAATGCAGACCCCTTGGGACAGTGACCTGGCTTGCCCTGAGCCCCCAGGACCTGGCAGAGAAAGGGAACAGGCCCCTTGAAGCCCCCTCCCTGCATTGCCTTTACCACCTCCGCCCAGACTCACAGGCTCATCCCCTGGTCAGGAAGTAGAAATTTCCAAGTAAAACAGACACTGTGACCAGAGAGAAGAAAGCAGATGTGACTACAGAGTGTGCTGTGACATGCAGACACTGTCCTGTGGCAAGCTGAGTGGCATCCTCAGTGTTTCAGGGCTGCAAACAGGCGCTGGTGGGCGGGGGTGCCACCACCTCTGGCATGGCCCTGGTCTTCCGGGCCAAACAGCCCCGCCCACCCAGAGGTCCAGCCAGGCCTGGGCTTGGCCTGGGCCAGGGGCAGCCTGACTGTGTCAGAACCAGGAGAGTGTCCAAGAGAAACAGAGAGGCAGAGACAGATTTTACTCCAAGATCGCTGCTGCAGGAGAGAGGGGGCCCAGTGTATCCTGAGCCCGGCGTCCCTCAAACAAAGGCAGGGGACTCTGTAAGGGCTGGTGCATTGAGGGAAAGGCACCGAGGGCATGGAGGTGGGGGGTCCATGTGACCAGCCACCTGGGTTTGCTGACCAGCACGCACCCAGGACTCCTCAGCCTCCTCAGCCCTGCAGGACAGGAGGCGGTGGCGCAGGTCGGGGCACGGTGCCCACGGAAGTGAGGCCCGGACCTCCAGGGGCTGGGAGAGAGGGCGGGGGCATCCCCGAGTGTTTGCTGTGTTTGCTGCTCCGGGGTCCTTTCCTGGGTGGGTGAAAATGTCCGTCTCTAAGAGCAGGGAAGGTTTTATAACTGCCGGCTTTCAAAAGTAACCGTTCGAAGAGGGGCCCTGTCGTCAGGTTTGGGCCACAGTGTGCAGTGAGTTCTCCTGGCAACGTGGAGGATTGTAAGGAGCAGGGCTCCTCATCCCGGGGTCACCGTGAGCGGTCAGCAGCTGTATTAGAGTCTGATCAGGTCTCAGTGCAGTGGTCTGAGCCGAGAGTCTTGTCATTAGTTCCTGAGGTCTGTGGGGACAAGAAGGCCCTCCGCTCCGTCTCCTCGGCACGTGCCCTGCTGCCGGCCCCCAAAGCCCTGGCACTGCAGTGTCCCCGTCTCCTCGTCCGACCCCTGGCTGAGCCTCAGCCCTGTTCCTGGCTTTGGCTCTAACTCACCTCCAAGGAGAGAGGCCCAAGGAGGGCGGCTGGAGGCCCACTCACGCCGACCACGTCCCTTAAAGCCTTCTCTGGATGCCCCGCAGATGGATGGCGGCCTGGCGATGTGCCCCCGGTCACCTTCCTCCGCACGGAAGAGGGCCCGGACACCTCCTTCCCCACGAGCATCCCCCAGATCCAACAGTTGCTAAACGCCACGGAGCTCACGCAGGACCCGGCTGCCTACTCCAGGCTGGTGGCCGTGCTGGTCTACACCGCTGAGCGGGCCAAGTTCGCCACAGGAGGCGAGCGGCAGGAATGGATGGAGCTGTTCATTGACACTTTTAAGCTGGTTCACAGGGACATTGTGGGTGACCCCGAGACGGCGCTGGCACTCTGCTGAAGCCACAGGGCTGCCGATGCTCGGAGAGGTCGGAGCTGCCCCAACAGGGCCGCCCGCATTTGCTCCCCGGGCTGCCCGCCGTGTGCTGGGGGCTCTGACAACAGGAATCTCTCAGTCTGGAGGTCAGACCCCAAAACCAAGGTGTCGGCAGAGCCAGGCTCCCTCCAGGGGCTCCAGGGAGAGTCCTCTTGACTCTCCTTGCTGCCTGCATGGTCACATGGCCTCCTTTCTGTCGCCTACCCTCCCTCTGCCCTCCTTATAAGGACCAGGGGGCATTTAGGGCCGACCAGGTAACCCTGGACAATCTCCCATCTCAAAGTCTGTAATTTAGTCCTATCTGAAAGCCCTAATTTCACCATATAAGGTCACTTTCCCAGGCTTCAAGATTAGGATGTAGGCATTTTGGGGGCACAGTATTCAGCTGACCCCACCACCCCAGTCCAGCTGAGCTGTCCAACCTCCAACAACATTTGAGGTTGTTAAGAGTTACCCATTAAGGCAACCCTGTCCAAACTGCTGGCCAACAGGCTCGAAAGGGTCTATGGGCACCACCTCTTCGTCCTCCGCCTGCCCCAGGCCCTTGGGGACCGCAGAGACACCCCATCTCAGAGGCATGCTCAGAGCCCCAGGGCCTGCTCCCCCAGAAGCCGGATTAATACAGAGGAGGCCTCATCCTGAGCTGGGGCCCCTGCACCTGCTCCTGTCTGCACCCGGCCCGGTTCCCGCAGCCAGGGTCTTACCTCCCTGCTGCACAGGCCCCCGGCCATGGGTTGGGGGTCAGTGGGGGGAAAGAAGAGGACCAGCAGAGCCCTTGGACAGCCTCAACAGCCCTGGCTCAGCCTCCGGCCTCTGTGCCCATGTTGAGGAAAACCTTCCCCAAACCGGCCCCTCGCCACATGTCTGCCTGCTTGTAGGACTCAGGGTCGGAGTGCCCAGAGAACATGTGCATTGAAAACAAGCTGCTCTTCGTTTGCACTGCCATGAACATAAGCTACGTCCTTAATAAGCTCCTTAGAAAAGCATCCTGTTCGCTGGCGCCCGGCACCTTGTAGCGACACACCCAGGTCGGGGTGTTCTGTAGATGCCGTGAGCACATCTTACATGTTCTATAAAAGCTGAGAAACAAAGAATGTGAATGCCTTGCTGTGGTCGGTTGTGTGCTGGGGTGACCTACTGCTGGCTGGGGTGACCTGCTTCTAGCTGGGGGCTGGCCCACCGCAGTCACCTACCCGTGCAGGTGGGTGCCGCGGCGGAGTCAGGTCCTGGGCAGAGGCCCTCAGGCTTTGGTGCTGCAGGTCAGGACCTTCTTCCTGATGGGACGCCAACCGGCCTCAGGGATGGGCAGACCTGGGCTGTGAACAAGAGTCCTTTCTGGCCCATATCCAGGAGGGGTGCCTATGGGGTGGAGGAGCTGGCCGAGAGCAGGAGGACCAGTCCCGTCCCTGCCCGGCCCCGGTGGTGATGAGGGTTGAGGTCCGGAGTGAGGCGTTGAGGAAGGAGCCTGGTTGCGTGTCTGGCCAGGTGGCCCCACATGTGTGGGGAGTGGGTTTTCAGGCTGTGCGGGTGCCCACAGCCCCCAGAGGCCCAGCTTTGGTCCTGGCTGCAGGCTGGCCTCGACGTTGTCCGGTATGTCCTTGTTGGTCAGCCATCCAGAGGGGGGAATAGAGTCTCTCCTCGGGTAGCAGTGAGACACCTAGGCTACTGCAAGGGTCTTGGCCACACTTGTGCCCACTGCCCACCAAAGCCTTGTCCAGTCAGAGGGGACACAGGTTCCTTCTCTTTCTGATGCTCCAAGGGCCAGAAGAAATGTGGCCTGGCTGATGCCAGGCAGCTCTAGGGCAGCAGGTACTGGGGTCAGAGCCACAGGTGGGTCCTTGCGTCTGGGTGTCTTCAGGACCCAGTCTTCCAGGTCTCTTTACACAATTACAAACAAGCCGACAGCCTCCCTGCCCCTCTCTCCCACACCCGCTCCCCAACAGACTGTGGCCCTTCTGAGGGTATCCAGTTCTTGGGCCAAGTGAAGGGGCTTTGCTGACCCCTTCCTTCCTGGACGGCCTGGAGCAGGCACTAGGCAGTGCTCGTAGGGTGGAAAGGGCCTTCCGTCCCCAGGTTTGGAAACATTTCCTGGTAGAGGCACAACCAAGAGAGATGGTGACGGTCCGAGGAGACGACAGTGAGGGACACCAGACCCCTGCCTGGGGCTGGGGTGGGCTCCCACAACGGTGACTCTGGTGCAGTGCCCCCAGCTGCAGGGGCCACATAGCTCCAGTGGGTGGGCACAGAGAGACATGGCGCTGAGCGTGGGCTGGACCACGGTGGGGGTGTGGCCTGGCAGTGGCATGGCAGGGCCAGGGTGGAGCCAGCGGGGCTGCGCCTGGGTCGCCCCTGCCCACCACCCTTATTTCCCCCCAGAGCTGTACGTGGCCCAGTGCACCCAGCGGCCCGTGGACATCGTCTTCCTGCTGGACGGCTCCGAGCGACTGGGGGAGCAGAACTTCCACAAGGCCCAGCGCTTCGTGGAGGAGGTGTCCCGGCGGCTGACACTGGCACGCAGGGACGACGACCCGCTCAACGCACGCATGGCGCTGCTGCAGTTTGGGGGCCCCAGCGAGCAGCAGGTGGCCTTCTCTCTGACCTCCAACCTGACAGTCATCCACGAGGCGCTGGAGAATGCGCGCTACCTCAACTCCTTCTCGCACGTGGGCTCAGGCATCGTGCACGCCATCAACCAGGTGGTGCTCGGCACGCTGGCTGGGACACGCCGCCACGCTGAGCTGGCCTTTGTGTTCCTCACGGACGGCGTCACGGGCAACCACAGCCTGGACGAGGCAGTGCACTCCATGCGCAAGCAGAACGTGGTGCCCACTGTGGTGGCGGTGGGCAGCGACGTGGACATGGATGTGCTCTCCAAGATCAGCCTGGGCGACACAGCTGCCATATTCCGTGAGAAGGACTATGACAGCCTGGTCCAGCCGGGCTTCTTCGACAGGTTCATCCGCTGGATCTGCTAGCGCCCCTCGCCCCGCCCGGCCTGTGGTCCAGCCCCACAGGCGCTGTCCTCCTGTCCGTGGTGCTACTCTGCTCCCACCAAGAGAGCTCAGAATGCTGCAGACTCAACCTCTCTAGTGTGGGTGTGAAGTCAGGAGTGGAGCACCCCTATCCCCAGATCTTCGGGGGTCCTACAGCCCTGGGCACTGATGCCCACGCCCCTCCTCTCTATCCAGCAACGCCCTACTACCTACACCCTCCCCAGTCCCAGAGGCTTCCCAGGGCATGCATCAGACCCTTACCGACAGGCCTTGTTTTCCCTCCAGCCCAGCCTTATCCCTGGACTCCCACCCGCCTTCCCAGCACCCTGCAGAGGCGCTCTGCCAGCCCTGTGTACTCAGCCCTGCACCCAGGTCTCCGCCTCACCTCTGGAGGTCACCTGCCTCCATCAGACACAGCTGTGACAGCAGGTCCTTCAGGTCCCCGTATGCACACCCCCTGGTCCAATAAAGGCTTTGAACCACCTGCTGCTCCCCAGCCTCCATGTGTCTGTGCCCACAAAGGACTCCTGAGAGGCCAGCTGGACTCAGACAGTCCACATGCCCACCAGCATTTATCATGCTCCCAACCCTCTGCCCCCACTTACATGGAGACAGTGTAGGAGCAAATGCCACCTCCAGCTCTGACTGTCCACACTCTCCCAAAGTGCACAGACTGGACAATCTTGACAACCTTAAAATAGCCACTTTTTTCACCAGCAAATATGGGTTTCTTTGGGACTAGTAGAGTAATTGCAATTTGGGACATGCAAACTATGGTAAACTCATAGGCCAGCCTGGAGAACAAAGGAAAAAGGAGGACCTGGGAGGGGCAGTTATGAGCAGAAGTCTACTGGAGGAAAGCGAGAGTTCAAGTTGGTGGTAGCTTCTCATTGGCTGGGCTGTTGCTGGGGAAGGAGAAAAACTTCCTCCTGCCTGGGTAGTAAAATGGTCTTAAGGTAGCTTCTTCCTGCTGGAGTCTGCAGAGAGCAGTGGGGTGGGCATTGGGTGGTCCTGCAGAAGAGTGTCCCGTCAGGGATTCCCCACTCCAATTTTATTAAGTTTTTCTTTATTCATTTTCACAGCATCAACCATAAAATCCATACCTATCTAGTCAGCTTTGGGCTCAAAACAAACCCTACTTGGTCAATGACATTTCCCTCTGTCCTCAGTCTAGGGTCAAAGTGCTTAGTTTGTTGGTCTGCAGGGGGCTATTTTGTGGTTATTTGGATGGACAGCTTCTTTTTTTCCCTGGCAACATCAGTGACTTATTGTTCAGACTTCCAGGTCTTTAAACTCACGCTCTGAGAAATGCCCCGTTAAACCACTGGGGCCCATGCAGATGCTCCACTGTCACTATCCAGTGTCCTGGTGCTGCCCTAACCATGTGCCACAGGCTGGTGGCTGAAACAACGGGATCATCTTAGTGGATCATCTTCGTCCGGAGGCCCCAGCGCAGGCTCTGGGAAGGATCTGCCCAGGTGTGCTCCAGCTCTTGGTAGCTCCTGGACTTGTCCGTAGCACCCCAGTCTTCACATGCTTTTCTCCCTGTGCATGTCTGTCCCCACAGCTCCTCTTCTTATAAGGACACCAGTCATTTGGGATCAGGACCCACCCTACTCCAGTATGATCTCATGTCAACCTAACTAATTACATCTGCAGACTCTATTTCCAAATAAGACCGAATTCTCAGATACCAGAGGCTGTAATTTCAATGTGTGAATTGGAGAAGACACCATTCAGCCCAGAACATGTTGACACCTTGTTGGTTCCCTTGTGGGGCCGATTAATTCATTTGGAGGTACTTCCTCACTGCTCATTGTCTGCCTACACAGCCTGCAGCTGGAGGCAGGGCTTTGAGCCAAGCATTTTCTCCTTCTACACCCCATTTTCTCTACCACACAAAGAGTCATACAAACTGCCAGTAAGAGGAAAAGAAGACCCTGAGACCACCCAGAAGACTCAGACCTAAGCATTCATGCCTGGGAACTTCCAGGGGTGGGAAGGGTAGTGGCAGGCAGAGACTTCCCCACCTCCACACAGCTGCTGTTCTGCCTGCCAGACGCTGCCCAGGGGCCCCTCTGCAGGGAAAAACACATCCCTCTCTCTGACACTGGCACCTGCCTTTTCAGCCTTTGACCCCCAGGAGGCAAGAACATCTGTCCCTTTGGAAGGGACTTACAACACCCATGAGTGGGCATTGGGGTTCTTTGAGGGTGCGGGCCAGCCCCACAGAGTGCTCGCCATGCTGGTGTCCACAGAGCTCTCCACTAACCTCCCCAGAGGGCAAAGACACCAGCCCCCACATGGGACTGCCCTCTGAGCCCCACGTCCCCACTCCTCAGCCCCTCAGGGACCCTCAGACACACTGCCCATCATGTGTGATATTGGAGTTAGGGTTCTATGATGGTTCCATGCAGGAACCTTCACTTCATACACATGGGACTCCCTCAGACCTTCACCGTGGCCCCAGATGGCAGGACCCTGTGTTCTGCCTTCTTGTCCCCCTGGACCCACATGGACATTATCCTGTCCCCTCAGAAGAATGGATGTGAGTGAAGAGGACCCAGCAAAGACCAGGGGCCTGGACCAGCCATGCTCCTGTCTCTCAGAGTGGCACATCCCCTCACTAACATCCTATCCTAACATTTTTTTGACAATATTCCCTCACCAGCACCCCCACACCAAGTCCTCTTAGCTCCAACTGCAACTCCTATGGACATGCTCGCTCACAGGAACCACAGTGGCCCTGGGTGTTTTGTATGACACAGTCCTTGAATGTTTGCTTGCTGCCACAAACACACATTATATAGAAGATTCACAGTAAAGGTGTGAAGGATGCTCCCATATCCCCAAACCATTCCTTCCCAGAGGTAGTCACACTAGGCACCTTCAGGGGCCAGGAAGCCGCCTCTGCAGGTGCAGGTAAGTCAGGAGATGGCACCAATAGAAAAGCAGGCAACACACAAACATGCCTCAGAAAAGAAAATAGGAGCAATTTAAGAAAATTACAGGATCTTCTAGCTTCCAGCCAAGATGGAGGCGTAGGTAGACACACTGTGCCTCCTCACACAACCAAAAGAAGGACAACAAATTTAAAAACAAAAAACCAGAACCGACAGAAAATCAAACTGTATGGAAGTCCCACAACCAAAAAGTTAAAGAAGAAACACCCAGACCAGTAGGAAAGGTGGAGTCAGGCAGCCAGAGCGGGGAGGACCTGCAGCAAGGAGGCAGCTGGTGGATGCGGGGAGTGAGGGCAGGAGGTCCCATGTTTGTGTGAAGATAAACCAGGAGGAACAACTGGGGAGCGACACAGACCACACAACCTGGGGTCCCAGTGCAAGGCAATAAAACCTCAAACCACAGACTGAAAACACCTATGGTGGCTGAGACAGCAGCGGGAGAAACTCCCAGCCTCACTGGAGAGAGAGTTCGTTGGAGAGACCCACAGTGTCCTAGAACCTACACAAGCCCACCCACCTGGGAATCAGCATTAGAAGGGCTCAGTTTGCTTGCGGGTAGTGGGGGAAGTGACTCAATCCGGCAGAGAGCGGAGCAAGCACCTGTGTTTTCTCTCAGACCCCTCCCCCACATACAGCGACAAAATGCAGCAACAAGTGTTGCCCCACCCTGGTGAACACCCAAGGCTCCGCCCCTCATACATAACTGGTGCACCAAGACAAAAAAAAAAAAGGGTCCAAATGAAAGAACAGATCAAAGCTCCAGAAAAAATACAACTAAGCAACGAAGAGGTAGACAACCTATCAGATGCACAGTTCAGAACACTGGTAATCAGGATGCTCACAGAATTAATTGGTTGAATATGGTCACAAATAGAGGAAGAAGTCAAGGCTATGCAAAGTGAAATAAAGGAAAATGTACCAGAAACCAACAGTGACAGGAAGAAAACTGGGGCTCACATCAACTGTGTGGATCAGAAGGAAGAAAGAAACATTCGACCAGAACAGAATAAAGAAACAAGAATTTTAAAAAATGAGGAGAGGCTTATGAACCTCCAGGACATCTTTAAACATTCCAACATCTGAATCATAGAGGTACCAGAAGGGGAAGAGGAAGAGCAAGAAATTGAAAACTTATTTGAACAAATAATGAAGGAGAAATTGCCCAATCTAGCAAAGGAAATAGATTTCCAGGAAGTCCAGGAAGCTCAGAGTCCCAAAGAAGTTAGACGCAAGAAGGAACACACCAAGGCACATCATAATTAAATTACCCAAGACCAAAGATAAGGAGAGAATCTTAAAAGCAGCAAGAGAAAAGGAGACAGTTACCTACAAAGGAGTATCCA